GGTGGGAGAAGGACACTATATTTTTAGAAATATAGCTTAGTATGCCTGACACTATGGTGTTTATTTTATTTTTTACAGGTCAAAAATACAGGTTTGTTAAATATAGGGATAAGTAAACATAAAATCTAAAATCCTGGGAAGTCACGCTCCTCTTTCTTAAATTGCTTATTATTGTGAGATTGGCTCCTCTTTTATTTATATATATATATATATATATATATAAAAATTGGACAAATGCATTATAATTGTGACATGTTTGAAAAGTTGACAATGAACACATAGTTCACGCTGATTTTGGAATATTCAGAATTAGGTTAATATATAGTTACACCAATGGATGGTGCATTAGAGATTATAAATTCTGTGTAAAGTAGAGCAGTAAACATAGAAAATGATGGCATCTTCCTGTTGATTAGCCTGTATTTAGAACTTTGGCCCTGATTTGCATTTTAAAAATAAACTACATTGCAACATGTGAATTACTCTTTATTATAGAACTTACTTTTTCATTTGCAACAGTCTGTAAAGTTGTGATCTGTTAAGAATACACGAGAAATGAAGTTATCATAGTAATTATTAAAAGTAAATCCACACCCATTGCTTAAATAATAAATCTTAAATTGCTTTTGTAAGCTTTCATGTTCATTTGGCTGCTGTGCTTTTCATTGTCAACAAAATGAGATACAAAGGTTTATTAAACTACATGATTACACAGGTTCTAAACTGGGAGAAAACATGCATTTCTTTTAAACAAAAAACACAATAGGTTACCCTGTATTACAGATTTTTTTTTCAAAGGTTTTAAATTCTATTGCGTGCTCTAAATTTAGAGTTCTGACAAAGGGAATATAAAAGTTTTTGTTTATAGACTGTTACTCAGGACTGTCCTCAAAGGACTAGATTTGAATAGCCAATCTTTCCAGCTATGATATCTTACATTTTCATCTTCAAATTGGGGAGACATTTGTTTTAGAATGGATAAAAGGATGACTGATTGTGACATTTCCATGAATCTTTTGACAATTAATGACCTTTTGATGACCATTTTAGAAAATTCCATTACCATTTGGCCAATTTTAATGTATTTATGCTCACAAACTGTTAGAAATAAATACGTTAAAATATATTTACTTGAGCTTTTCAACTACACAGATCAAAATTTAAAGGGGGTCCTGGTAAATAGGGGACAAGCGGGGAGATGGGATAAATGGACACTCAGTCATTTACTTACCAACTTTCATACAAATTGAGATGGGGTAGCAAGCAGACAAAAGTTTCCTCTGTGCTCCTTGTGTAGGGAATCATGGGGATCCCCATTTAATGTTATTTAGCACTTTTTCCGCTGTCCTTGTAGAAAGTGGATAGATTTTGCAATTGCCTACTTTTTGCAGATGCTATAGTAGACAAGTACAAAATGAATGTGCCTATATTTGTGCAGTTTCCGAGTCAATTTGGTGTTAAATATCCAAAACCCTATGTTAGTAGATAAATAACCTACTGATAGGTAGGTATACATGCAAGTGTTGTATACTAAGCTAACTGGCACTACCCTCAAGCCCAACAAGGCAACCATGTTCATTTAATAGATTTATATATCGATATAGGAGGATGTTTTAATTGGAAAATACTCTTCTATGAATCTTCTAGTCTGTGAATATGAAAAATTCAGCATCTTCAAAATTATCCCTAGAAAATCCCAAATTCCAAACTCTTTTTTTCAAGTTTAAGAAAATCTCAGGCGCTGACTTTAAATAACCTTTGTTTTATATCTGTATAACATGGCGTTTTTTTTTGTTTTTTTAAACAAATTTTTAACTGATGAGAATTGACCAAGGAATAGCATTGTATTTCGGACTAAAACTTGCAGTTCCTTGTTCCCAGTCACTTATGTTTTTTTGTGAAAAACTACGAAAGTCTTTTTTTACAATAGAATACAATTAGAACATCTAAATTAATTATGAAATTTAATTGTAAAACATAAGATTTTGAAAGTAGAACACTAGCAGATGTTGCAGCATAACAAATACAAAATGATTAAACCATTTGCATAATAGTAACGAGTCGAGTTGAGCGTACACCTGGATGTTCGGGTTCGCCGAGTTCTGCTGAACTTCGTCAAAAGTTCGAGTTCAGGGTTGAACTTGACTCGAACTTGACCCCGAACCTCATTGAAGTCAATGGGCACCCAAACTTTTGGGCACTAAAATGCCTCTAAAAAAGACCTGGAAAGGGCTAGAGGGCTGAAAAAGGTAAAATGGGGGTAAGAGTAGGACAAGTGCCCTGCAAACAAATGTGGATAGGGAAATCACTTAAAATAACATAAAATACTTGAAAATTAAAAATACAGCTGAGCCATAAAATAGCACTAAATTGAATCTTTGATTTTAGCTTTGTAAGAACATAAATCAAACTCTAAAGCATGGCTGTCAGGAGGATCACCAGAATTATCCATTTGCAAGAGGGTTGGAGTGCAGGGTATTCTCTTTCATTGTTCAAACTGAGCTCAACTCCTGATGAATGGAGAAAAGGCCTTCACAAGCCTCTGCTATTGTGTACATAGTTTATACTAAGTGACCCATAGGTTGAGGAGGCGGTGACCATGGCGGTGGAGGAGAAGGAGGTAGCCAACACTGTTTATTTGTTTTTGTTTTTTTAATTAGGGTAGCCTCCAAAATATTGGGACACATAAAAAAAGAAACATTTGCGGCCTGCAGTGCTTTTCTTGCAGTCCAATAACGCCATCAGGTTTTTAAAACTGTCAGTCTCCACCAGACGGAATGACAGCATTTCAAAGGCCAGGAATTCTGAAATGCTGGCCTTCAGGGACAGGGATCCCGCGTGGGTAGGGGGGTACTTCCTCTTTCTCTCCAGTGTTTGGGAGATGGACAGCTGAACGTTTCCATGGGACAGTGTGGAGATGCTGGACAATTGTGTACCTGGCCTATGCTGGTGCAGAAACCCACCCTCCAAGCCACTTGTGAATGACTGGCCTGATAACCATGGCAATTACCCCCTCTTCCTCCTCCTCTTCCTCCTGTGCCACATCCTCTTCCATCATCACCCAAAGCATTTTTTCAAGGAGACATAGAAGCTGGATAGTAAGGCTGAGAATGGTGTCATCAGCACTGGCCATGTTGGTGGAATACTCGAAACAGCGCAACATGGCACACAGGTCTCGCATGGAGGCCCACTCATTGGTGGGGAAGTGGTGCTGTTCCGTTGAGCGACTGACCCGTGTGTGCTGCAGCTGAAACACCACTATCGCCTGCTGCTGCTCACACAGTCTCTCCAGCATGTGCAAGGTGGAGTTCCACCTTGTGCAAACGTTGCATATGAGGTGGGAAGGCCAAAGTTACGCTGCAGCGCAGACAGGCGAGCATCAGCAGGGTGAGAACGCCGAAAGTGCGCACAGATGGCCCGCACTTTCTGCAGCAGCTCCGCTTATAACTGGGAAGTTTTTCAGGAATTTCTGCACCTTCAAATTCAGCACATGCGCCAGGCAAGGGATGTGCGTCAAACCGGCTAAGCCCAGAGCTCAAAGGGGATAACCATTGGTTACCCAGATCCCGCTTCAATTGGTGGCAAGCATCGGGATCCCATGTCCCTGCCAACAGACCCATGGACTACAGTGCTCTAAAGCGAACTACACTGCAGGACTTGTGTGGAGCCAGAGGAATAACGCCTGGTGGGTGTAACAAGGCCAAATTGACTGCTGCGCTCATGGAGGATGACCAGGCACACAGTGAGGTAACGAACCTCAGCCAGGGGCCGGAGTTGAGGAGGAAGTGCGCAAGGAGGTGGACCGGCGCCTGGCATATTACCGAGAGCCACCCTCAGAGGAGATTGTCAGCAGGACCTTTTTGGAGGTGCAAGCCTATGTACTTGCCAATAGCAATAGACAAAAGGCGACCTCCATGAACCCAGGAAGCACAACCACCCTGGCCCACAAGCTACCATGCAATGCCTTCAAAGAGTTCAAGGAAGCAGAAGAAGGCATCGATGACTTTTTACAAGACTGAGCACCAGTGCCTACTCCAATACGTGGACCCCAGCGACTGGGTCACCATCCTGGCCAGCAAACTAGTGGGGAAGGCAGCAGATATTTACCAGGCTGTACCAGAAGAGCAGATCAGAGACTATCCCTTTATTACACAAATCCTCGTGGCCCGGTATGCGGTCACCCCCGAGCAATACCGCCAAAAGTTTAGGGAGACTTGGAAAGGGGAGTGCGACTGCCATGCGGAGTGGGCATGCCGCATTACAAGGGCCACCCAGAACTGGCTCAACTCCCATCAAGTCAAGTTCCCGGAGAAGATCACCCAGCTCGTCATGCTAGAGCACTTTTTCAATGGGCTCCCCAATGACACGGCTGGTGAGAGACCGCCAGCCCCAGACCCAAGAAGTATTGGTATGAGCTGCTGAAGCTAGCTCCCGATATCCCCTTGGCAGGGCATTTGGGCAGGAGCCGGACAGCGTCTCGGCTCACCCAAAGCTTCTTCTGGCCAGGCATCTCTCAGGATCTGAGGCAGTACTGCCAGATGTCTGCCAGAGAGTGGGGAAGAGAAGGGACCGGCACAGGGCCCCCCTCCATCCCCTACCTATTAGTGAAGATCTGTTCGGCAGAGTAGCTGTCAACATTATAGGTTCCCTAGCCAAGTCTAGTCCCTCTGGGAAGAAGTACATTCTGACCATCGTGGACTACGTGACTCTGTACCCTGAGCAATATTCAGGCAGAGACTGTGGCTGCGAGTGTTCTCCCAGATGGGCACCCAGTTTATTGCCGAAATGACCTGCCAACTGTGGAGATTGTGCACATTAAACCAATCCTGAGCTCCCCTTACCACCCCCAGACAAATGGCCTTTGTGAGTGCTTCAACGGTACGTTGAAACAAATGCTCTGTACCTTTGCGGCGACTCACAAGGAAGAGAGAGATTCCTGCTCCATCACCAGTTTGCCTATTGGGAGGTGCCACAGGAATCAACTGAGTTCTCCTCGTTCAAACTGCCATGCCAGGGAACTCCTTGGGCTGGCTTTGGTGTGCTCAGTCACTGGGTGCGGTGGGCAGTAGCAGGCATACTGTCTAGGGGACTGCTGCACCGCTTTTGCACCCTGCTCTAGGAGGAGGAGAATGTGGAGTAGGAGGTTGAAGAGGCGGTGACCGTGGCGGCGATGACGGATTTGGATGTCTGCCCTATCAACTTTCGATGTTGCTTTCTGCGCCTACCGTGGTGACCATGGGTAATGGGGAATCAGGGTTCGATTCTGGAGAGGGAGCCTGAGAAACGGCTACCACATCCAAGGAAGGCAGCAGGCATGCAAATTACCCACTCCTTGGAATAAGTACACTTTAAATCCTTTGACGAGGATCTATGGGAAGGCAAGTCTGGTGCAGAGCGACTGACCCGAGCGTGCTGCTCGTTTATAATAGGGTTAATCCAGCCTCTAGTGGCTGTCTCATTGACAGCCCCTAGAGGCGCTTCTGCGCTTCTCACTGTGATTTTCACAGTGAGAAGACGCCAGCGTACATAGGAAAGCATTGTGAATGCTTTTCTATGGACTGGCTGAATGCGCGGCTACTGCGAGGAGGAGGAGAGTCCCCCACCTGACACTGGAGAAAGAGGTAAGTTTAACCCCTTCCAACCCCTAGAGCCCGGCGGGAGGGGGACCCTGAGGGTGGGGGCACCCTCAGGGCACTATAGACATACTGGCACTATAGTAGTCCTTTAAGTACCTCTTAGCTATTGATAACTGGTTTAAATATAGCAGCTTGTTATCTGGTAGTTTCTAGTGTAGAAAATATCAATCTGTTTTCTATCATTTAGATCTGTGTAACAAGTGTTGTAGGTGTGAAACAATATTACAAGTGACCGATGTAGTAAATTCGAATCAAAGTTCCATTTGCAAAAAAAAATTCTCACCCATCTTCTGTGGGTTACTGCATTTTTAAGATGTAGACTTATTGTATCACACTAGCCATGCACAGGTAGATTGTCTGGCACATTGTTTTGGTGTTTGGTTTTTAACTTTGGAGTTGTGTCTTTACACAATATAGAAATGTATATGAAGCGATCACAATAACACTTATTTTTCACACTTTAGACTTTCTTGAAGCGGTAACTAGCCAGTGTTGCACACATACACCAGATATGAAGTGCGCACCCCAAATGTACTATTTAGCACCTAAAGAATTTGAATTTTTAAAACTACTATGTCACAGCAGTATTTGACGGTTCTATTTGACTCTCACATATGAGGTGCAGGCCCCAAATGTACTATTTAGCACCAAAACTATTTGAATTTTTAAAACTGCTATGTCACAACAGTATCTGACGGTTCTATTTGACTCTCAGATATGAAGTGCACCGCAGGCTGCAAATGTACTGTTTAGCACCCAAATTTTTTTAATTTTTAAAACTGCGCTGGACCACAGTATTTGACTCTCAGATATGAAGTGCACACACCAAATGTACTATTTAGCACCAAAACAATTGCAGTATTTAAAAATGCCTAGATGTTGCCCACTGAGCTACCAGAACAGGATTAAAGTAATGTGCCTGGCACACATGCAGTTGCAAGTGCAGTGCACTCTCTGTGGCACTGGGCTCAGGGCCGGGTACAAAAATGTAGTATTAAATCACCCACAAAAATAATCGCTGTAGTTTGCAGATTCAACACAAGAATTCTTTCTTGTCCCTCACAGCTGCAGCCTCCTCTCCCTACACTAATAAGAGCTCATGTGACATGTGGCGCTACGTGACTCCAGCTTATATATAGAGGCTGCACTGGCCAATCACAGCCATGCCATTAGTTGTCAAACTCTTGTTGATTGGCTTCCCTGCAGCCTTTCAAAACGCGCCATTAAATCGCCGAACTCCAACCTGAACATACACTGATATGTCCGTGTTTGTGTCCGGGGTCCAAAAACCGTAATGTTCAATATGAACCCGAACTTTACAGTTCGGGTTCGCTCAACTCTAGTAACGAGGAAATGGAGGCTAGTGAATATCAATCCAATATTTGAACACGAATACCCTTTATTTTCATTTCATCACTCACTTTATATGAACCGAACAAGGGAATATGAAATATTCAAATGATGTATGTATGTATGTGAACATATACAGTATAAATTCCAATACCTATTGCACAAAATGCCTTCTGAATGATTCCCAAAATTCTGGTCAATTAATCTTGATATGCCTTCCTTACCACTCTGTAGTTGCATATAACACTTTTTTTTCTTTTTAAGGCAAAGGTTTTAATCTTTTTTTTTTTTTTTTACTTTCTTGGTATCCGATTTCTTTTAACCAATATTCACTTACATTCAGAGGCTCCCAAAACATTATTTATTTTATTATGAACGCTGATTTAGTATGCCGTGCAGAAGAAAATTGCAAATGCGACTATTTAAGCCATCAATTGTGTGTTTACATTTCGCATCAATCATGTGCTGTATCCCTGAAGAAAATCAGAAAGGTTTAGTGAACACTAAGCTTTCATACATATCAAACCTTATTGAAAAATAATGAGAAACAGTCAGTGTGATTTATGTAACCCAGGCCTTGTGTGGGACATTCTGAATAAAGGCTCTGTGTGACCTTTTGTCAAATTAAATGGCAGGTCTGCATAAATGACAGTGCAGCAAAACCATTAGATTTTGCTCTGTAAAGGACATACAATTTGGAACTTCAAATGCTACAAAATTGTTTTAAAAAGCACACATTTAGCTATCTTATTTAGCAATGGATTTTTTATGGATTGGGAACAAAGTTTGCATTCTAATTTTTATAACCCCAAATCTCATGTGCAAATCAATTCAAAACAAACCAAAATTTAGCCCATTGAACACTACTCCCATTATCCTTCTCCAAATGTTCCATGGAAGATTTTTCTGTTGGGACTCCAATCAGTGGAACAACCCATGCTGCTTCTTTACTGTGCAAGAGCCAATGCGGCTTAAACTATGTTGGGAGCAAAGAAAGAAATGTAAAAAATAAAATATGTTGGGAGCATGTATGAAGGTAGTGGGTACCATGTGGATGTGAATACATCCCCTTTAACTCACCTTTATAAAAAGATGCAAGACGTTAATGGTGACAAACAGGCCACAGCTTTATCAATATCAATAAATATCATTAATTTTATTAAACACTATACATTAACATAATGTAACCATGAACATTTCCAATTCAACACCCTTGCCAACCATTCCTGCTGATCCTGGGCACCTGCCCTCCGCCCTTGTCCTATACACAAACCGGCCTCAAAACTTGCCTAACATTAACTAAATGCTAACCACTGGCCGGCCTTTGGATCAGAGGCCACATACATTACTCATCATAACCAAGGTTAGGGGAGGGATCAGCCCCAATCATCCTTTCCACCAGACCGCTGGTCCAACCCTGATTGACAAGAGATCAATTTTTCGCCGTATGTTGTGACAAGAAACACAACAAGATGTAGACTGTGATTTTCAGTGAGAAGACGCCAGCGTACATAGGAAAGCATTGTGAATGCTTTCCTATGGACTGGCTAAATGCGCGCGCGGCTACTGCCTCATAAACCATATCTCAAAATGGAGGGAGGGAAGCTTTTCCAAGCTGAGATTATTAAGATAGCCATTACAGCAAACGGCCACCTTTATATGATACCCATCTCCACCCCTATTGCTTACTCAAGACCTCCCCTGCCCAGAATCTACACCTCCCCCCCCCACTCACACATGTCCCTTTTCCTGGCTTGTCTTTGACCTGCCTTCTCAGGGTCTTTCTTGTAGCCAGAGATGAGAAAAGATTGAAAGTGGGAGCCTGGGTGGAATACATGACTTCTATGCAAGTTGGAATTGTTATATACAGGTAACATATGTAACTGTATTTACTGTATGTGGTGCATTATTTTTATTCCCCACATGTTTATCAAGCTATATAATAGTTGGTTAAACATGTTAGAATTCATGTAGGACAATTTTGTGTCCATTTTGCGCACATGAAGTCCGTTGACCTGTGAAACTGTTGGGCACAGTTAAAATAAGATCAAGATGGAAGCTCTCCATAGAGTATGCACTTTTAGCACGTTAGAGGGTAGCATCACATCCTTTTTTGTAGTAAAATATTTAAAAACAAAATATATATCAAATATTATAAAATGTCTATATTTTTCATAATGTTAAAATATTTTAAAAGTTCAAACAATATTAAATCATTTGGAAAGCTTACCCAACAATATTAAATCAAAGTCTGTTAGAAACCAAATTTATTTTATTAAAATAATATTGTTATACTTCCTATAAGAAATCACAATAATTATATTTTAAACCACAATCTAAAGAAAGTCTGCAGACATGGTGTGACAGACCCATCTGTCTGGATTACAAATGCTTTGTTCGCCTGTTTTGCCGGTTACATGAATTTCCCCATTCGTATGCTTTATTCAAGGGAATGTCGTTTTTTGTCGAACGAAACTACCGAACGGACGGCCACCCAGAAGAGAAGTGTGCTGCTGGTTAACCTATTGATCCCAATTAGAACGTTGCGGTTAACCACAGACACTTCTCAATTAAAACCGAATGCCAGGTGGTCGTCGTTCGTATGTCGACCACGAGGCGGCGGCCATTTTATCCATGCGAAAGACCAGCGGTGTTCAACGACTATTTCATGGATCTGAAAACGGACACTTTTTCAGCCGAACACCGCTGAAGCCGTCGACCTCCCCTTCTCAATCGACAAAAGTATACGAATGCCAGTCGTTCGGGAGATTCAACCACACGAATGGACTTAACCCAGATAGCCGCCCCATGGAGTCAATCGCATACCGAAGAACTGAAATAGACTTTGACTCCATGGTGATTGAACTGTGCGAATGGGATCTGAGCGCTATTTGCCAATAATATGCACTCAGATCCAGGCTATCTGGGGATATGTAATACGAACGCAATATGTTCGGCAGTTATGAAGTTATAGATTTTCATGTGTTTTTGTGACTTGTATTTAAAATGGCGATTGCCTCTGCTCGGGGAGATAATTGAATTACTTCACAATTATCCCCCGAGCAGAGGGGAGGGAACTGTACTGCATGCTGGGAATATTGTGGGGATGTGTGTCCAAAATGTCCCCATGTCTTTCTGTAATTTCAGTCTCCCATTTGGTCCCCTAGGGGAGTGTCCACCAGGTGGGAGACCTGCATAAATACCGGGCAGGTAGTCCACAGTAAATCAGTTCGTGTTTTACCCTCAAAGCGGAGCTTGGTCTCGTTATTGGGGGGATTTGGTTACCAGCGACTAGAGACTACTGATTTGGAGTATTTGCCGCTTGGGAGATATTGATGTTCGGTTACTATTTGCCGTT